CCTAACAGAATAGGAATCACTTGGTAAATCAAATAAATAAGAAATAAAAATATATGCCTAGTTTATATTATTTTACAGCTTAAGAGAACGCATCAATCACTGAAGGTCTAGGTTACGACAACGGTCAGTGAGTCTCATATCCTTATCCTTTTGTGGTCCTGTTCAACATTTAACATAAGTGCTAGTGTAATCCTTCAGTCAAAGACCAACTGAATCGGGAATACACTACAGTCTTTTTCCAAGTGGGGTCTCACTGCCAGTCTAGACTGTGAACGAATAGTTTAGTCTTATAAGGAACCGATAGGTGATCTTTCCGTTCGAAACTCTTCGAACCACACTACCTCAATATAAGACATGGAGTATGTATTGCATAAATAAATAAACTGCAAACATATGTACTTTGACCGAAACATGATTGCCAGATCAAAATGGAATTGATAGAATTCGCAAAACATAGCTTTTACAGCATACCTCTAACAATCTCCCACTTATGCTTTATAAGCTCATGGCTAAACAAAAATAACCACAATTTCTTTCAATCTAATTCTCAAAGACTAGTCTTCTATGTTGCCCTAACATCTGACTCCCATTCCTTCTACGTGTCTCGTAAAGACATTCGCCGGTAGGCTCTTCTAAAAGGATCTGCTAGGTTGTCCTCTGATTGTATCTTGGCAACAACGACTTCTCCTCATCCAACGGTTTCTCGTATCAGGTGGTACTTGCGCTCTATGTGCTTACTTGCTTTATGAGTCCGTGGTTCCTTCGAATTTGCTACTGCTCCGCTGTTATCACAGAACACTGTGATTGCAGCGGGCAAACTCGGTACCACATTAAGGTCGAGGAGAAAATTCCTGAGCCAGACAGCTTCTTTCGCTGCCTCTGAGGCTGCTACATACTCAGCCTCCATGGTTGAGTCCGCCACGCATTTCTGCTTGACACTCCTCCATACTATGGCTCATCCTCCTAAAGTAAACAAAAACCCTGAGGTTGACTTGCTTTCATCCCGATCTGCCTGGAAGTCAGAATCTGTGTAACCCAACGGAAGCAATTCATCTGCCTGGTAAAACAACATGTACTCCTTAGTCCTACGTAGGTACTTGAGTATATGCTTTACCGCAGACCAATGTTCCGGTCCTGGATTACTATAATATCTTGGTACCATGCCCACGACATAACAAATATCAGGTCGCGTACACAACATAGCATACATGAGGCTTCCTACTGCTGATGCATAAGGAATTGCCTTCATGTCCTCTATCTCTTGAGGCTTCTTCGGGGACATCCTTTTAGATAGATGTATTCCATGCCGAAAGAGTAAATCCCCTTTCCTGGAATCCTGCATGTAGAAATGCTTTAGGACAGTGTCTATGTATGTGGATTGGGATAGGCACAACTTTCTCTTCTCTCGGTCGCGAATGACCTTCATTCCGAGAACATGTCCTACTTCACCCAAATCCTTCATATCAAACTGCTTGGATAACCATACCTTTACGTCTGACAACATTTTCACACTGTTTCCAATGAGAAGAATATCATCCACGTACAGCACTAGAAACACCACCACGTTTCCATCACTTTTCTTGTACACACAGTGCTCATCCGGACATTGGGTAAATCCATACGATTGGACAACCTCGTCAAAACGGATGTTCAAAGACCTCGAAGCCTCCTTTAGCCCATAAATGGACCTCTTCAGCTTGCAGACCAGATGCTCTTGGCCCTTTGCAATGAATCCTTCTGGTTGTTGCATATAGATGTCCTCGTCCAAATTCCCGTTAAGGAAAGCGGTCTTAACATCCATTTGCCAAATCTCATAATCCATATGAGCGGCTACAACCAAGAGAATTCTGATGGATTTGAGCATGGCTACCGGTGAAAAGGTTTCCTCATAATCGATCCCTTCTTTCTGAGTGTACCCTTTCGCAACAAGCCTAGTTTTGAAGGTCTCAACCTTCCCATCTGATCCTCTCTTTCTCTTATAGACCCAATTGCATCCAATGGCTCCAACGCCACTGGGTGGCTCTACAAGATCCCAGACCTGATTAGTGTCCATTGACTCTAATTCAGACTTCATCGCCTTTTGCCAGGACTCTGCGTCCCGATCTTGGAGTGCCTCATTGTATGTCCATGGGTCGGTTTCAAGAACGTCTGGGTCGGCCTCAGAAGACTCTCCCAGACACATGAACCGTTCGGGTTGCAGGACAACCCTCCCACTAGGACGAGGTACTACCTGCTCAGGTGCATCATCAGCGATACGTGTTGCAGTACTTTGTGGTGTAACATCTAGCGCACTCGGTATTGAAGTAATCACTCCCTTTAACTCCTCAAGAACATGTCTACTACTGGGCTTATGATCTAAGACATAGTCTTCTTCCAAGAACCTAGCATTTGTGCTAACGATTACTTTCTGGTCCTCGGGACTATAAAATAGACCACCTTTCGTTTCCTTAGAATATCCCACAAACAGCCTTACTTCTGATCTTGGTTCCAACTTATCAGTATCGGTTCTCAACACATGTGCTAGGCTACCCCAAATCTTGAGATGTCTTAGACTAGGCTTATGCTAAGACCACAACTCCAATGGTGTAGACGGTACTGATTTAGAAGGTACTCTATTCAGAATATAAACCGTTGTTTCTAGGGCATATCCTCAAAACGAATCTGGTAATGTACTATAACTCATCATTGCCCTAACCATTTCTATAAGAGTCCTGTTCCTCCTTTCTGCTACGCCATTCTGCTGAGGCGTGCCATGCGCAGTCAGCTGGGATGTAATCCCATTATCCGTCAAGTAGCTCCTAAATTCATTCGAGAGATATTCGCCACCACGATCCGATCGTAATGACTTGATACTTTTTCCTAACTGCTTCTCCACAACTGCCTTATACTCCAAGAACTTCTCAAAGCATTCAGACATGTGGTGCAAAAGGAAAATGTACCCATATCTCGAGTAATCATCGATAAACGTAACGAAG